CTGATAAAGCTTGTCCTTTCTCCACCTACAGGCTACAGGGGAGGGAGATATCAGCCTTATGCACCAACCTTTCTTTTCCACTTATCTTGCTTTCTCCCTCCACGTAGCACTTTGCTTTCGATTTGTTTTGAGTCTTTGCACCAGAAAGGGTTTTTTTTTTTTCATTTTTCTTTCTCTTGTTCGCCTGACTGTCCCCACCAACAATATCATGTTTGTTGTGCAGAATCCCTGTCGTTGTTGGTCACTGCGAGAGTTCGCCTTAACAGAAGAAGCATGTTATGCAGTTTGTCCTAAGCAGATTTTTTTTTTTGCATTGTGTTTATGGGAAACCAAAAAAACACTGCTGTGTTGTTCGTCTTAACAGATTTCATCTTAACGGGAGTTTACCAGTATAGCCAAACTGAAAAGGAAGCTTTGGCTATAAGATGGGCTTTCTGGAGGTTCAGTCAATTTTTGTGGCATCCCACTTGATACTGAAACAGATTACCAACCCCTTTTCTCTCTTCTTGGTAAGATGGAGCTTGACATGTTGCGAGGCTGTGGATCAAAACAAAGCCTTATTAATTTAAGATACTTCATGTGCCTGGTAAGCTCTTGGCAACAGCTGATTTGCTGGCTCGCCTCAACAACCCAAATGAATGTCCCACGGATGCTCTGCTGCTCCTTAGCACCAAATCTGTGGCCTGTGCATTCCTTGATGTGTTGGAGCTCTCTGATGCATAAATAGTGGCCGCCACATTTGAAATTTTCCCTCTAAATGTGCAGGACGTGTGTCAAGCACAAAGTGCGGATAGTGAATACACTACATACTTCATTTGCTCGCATAATACGTACACTCCTATACAGTTGAACCCCTACATAAGAAGCAAGCTCCGGGTAGCAATTCTTTTCTTTTATATTAGATGCCTCTTATAAGCAATGTACCACATATGCATTTTCCTATGCACCCGTATTTTACTTTAGGCACACTGATATCTCTTTTACCCATTTGTCTCTTATATCAGTGTCTCTTATAAAGGGGTTCGACTGTAATAGGTGCACCCTCGCTTGGTTGCGAGGAATCAGATATTTTTTTATTAACTTGGCCGTGATCAGTAGTTCTGTGCCGTGTTTTCACAGTTGCAAAGTACCACGGCAAAGAAAAGACCGAGGTAGTGCTGTAGCAGGCTTGCCGAGTGAAAAAGAAGTGTGGTTGCCTGTGCATCGGCTTTGTACTAGTGTCGGTGTGGCTTGACTGCTAGCCGGCCACACGCGCTCCTCATAGAACGCTCAATCATGTCGTTGTCAAGTGCACATTGAGTTTCTCATCCGGACAAGCATCGTTGTTATCACCCCACAATTTCATCTTTGCTGTCACTGCTGTCACTATGCGGACTTGCACAAGCTCGGCCGGCTTTTGTTGCCGTTCATTTCATGGCTGCAAACATGAACAACGTATCCCGTGCACTACTCCTGGATCAATACTTGAGTGCGATCTTTTCGACGCCCAATCTTCATGTTGTTTAGCACAAATTTCCTGCGACATGTTGAGCCGTAGCCTAGGCCTAATCACTGTAGTGCATTTCGATGGTGATCGTGGGCGATCAAAGTTGTGATTTTGTATGGAATCAACTCAAGACTTTCCGGTGGCTCTGCTTGAAGGAAAAGCGGCATCAGTGGCGCTGTAACACCTAAATGATGTTTCGTGATTCGCTTGCGATGTGTTCAATATGAAGTGCGAGCTCGCAAAATCAAACGATCAGTATCATACAACGCAGGAAATTTCAGTCGTGATAATGCGCATAATGTAGGTGGCCTGAAATGTAATATGCAAATCCTCGCGATGACACTTTCTTTTCATACTTTTTTTTTTTTCATTTCATTGTAAACACGAGAATTTCGATGTTAACTTTTAAAAATCTGAATGCACACCGCATCGCATGCCTTGATTCTTGTACATGCGAGACCGCATGCTCAACACAATTTGCGCTAGTGCAGTCTATGATGATGGTTGTTTCGGCTGTAGTGCGGATATTCGCGACTTATACTGTAGTGGGAAACAAAACTTTTGTAAATATCACCCCGCGCAATAGGCGCACCCTGAACTTGGAGCCTCTAGATAGAATGTGTGTCTTCGACACACATTATTTCCAGAACTGCAAGGTATAAATCCCCTTCTTTCAGTAGGGGTTGCCTCAAGAAAAACAAGCTGCCGTTGCAGATCTCCAAGTATTCGTTGGTGATTGATCAACTTTATGTTTGCGACAGCATACTGCTCAAAGGTACTCGCTGCGTGATTTCATTGTAGCTTTGATTTACAGTTTTGGGGCTACTATATGAGGGACATCAAGGCTGTAACAAAACAAAGCCTTGACACAAGATTCAGTATTATAGCCCAGCCTGTCTGGTTGCCAACTTTGAGATATGCGCTCTCAAACAAGCTGACTTTGCTAAGCCACTTGTACCGACACCTCTTCCAGATCTTTCATGGCAACTTCTCAAAATGGACCTATTTCACTTCAGTGGGCAAAAATTCTTCCTGGTCGTTTATTCAAGGCACCCAAAACCTTGAAAAGCACAACCACCTAAGCTGTTGTGAATGAGCTAAAGAGAACATCTGCCTGCCATGGGATAGTCAAAGATATTTGCCTGCATATGACACACCATTCTTGTCACAAGATTTTACAACTTTTGCTTTCTCATATAGGTTTTTCTCCACATCAAGCAGTCTTCACTACGCCCAGTCGAATGGGAAAGTAAAGTGAATGGTCAAGACTGTCAGAAACCTCTTCACGAAGGTAAAACATGGCTCTTCTATGCTACAGGGATACACCAGGCATCAACGGTTCCAGCCCAGTTCAGCTCTGATTGATATGTGGGGTTTCACATCCCAAAACCACCATATGATGAGAGACACTGCAGTGGAGGGCTCCGGAAATTTTGAGCACCTGGGGTTCCCTAACGTGCACCCAAATTTGTACACATGGGCCTATAGCATTTTAACTTTCACTGAAAATGCAGCTGCTGCAGCCGGGATTCGATCCCGCGACCTGCGAGTCAGCAGCAGAGTACCTTAGCCACTGAGCCACCATGGAGAGGCTCCGGTTCAGCTATTGATGGGTTGTTGGGTTGATGGCCCCCAGCAACGAACAATTGCTACACCCAAACATGCCTCCAAAAGACACAGTAAAGTTGACAAACGCATCCTACAAAAGAAAGCAGCGAGAAAGGAGCTACAATCAGTGTCATCAGGCCAGGCAGCTTTCAGTAGGACAGCAAATATGGGTGCGGCCAGAAAACCTAATAGGGGCAGTGTTAAACCTAGTACAGAGACCCCAGAGCTACCCATTAGAAACAGGACAGCGTCACAGCATAACCCTGTTTTCCTCTTTGTTCCAGCATAACTGCCGCCCCAAGCTTCATCAGAAGAACAGCCGCGAGCTATCTTGGTAACGACAAGCGACTCGGAACAAGATGATGATAGTGTTGCTGGTGATGAGAGCGATAGTGATGATGGTTGCGATGATAATGTGCGCACGTGCAGTGACAGACGTCCTGTTCCACCTGACTGTCTAACCTTATGAGTGCTAATGTGCAAAAAGCAAGTTCATATTTTGCCCTCATGAGTATTTGGACAACGTAACCAAGGTCTTTAATACATTATCTCTGTAGAAATTTCACCGGGACCAAACCGATCCGCTCTGAGAAGCTGGTTGTTGTGTGACCGAGAATCGTATTATCGAACTTTCACTGCAGTTAAAATTCTTTGAAAGGAACCTCAAGTGCGCTTGACGTCACCACTGTGCAGGCTGGCCTCCTAAAAAAGACCCATTCCCCTCAGCAGTTTCCTGCTCAGTTCCTACACGAGAAAAAAAATATATATATGAGGGAAACCACAACCGTGTCTTTAGTTGCTTTCGTGGCTACTCAGAGGGTGAGGGGAAGATGGATAAACATAAAGGCGAGCAAAAAGCCAAGTCCTTTCGTGTCATTTCTGCTGGTGTGTCTTCCGAAATAACATTAGTAAAGGTATAAACTGTTTATTTTCAGGGCCTTGTATGCATAATTATAACTCGGTACAAACTTCAGTGCTCAAGAAACGGGCAAAATGAAATAAATTCTCAAGCGGCGATGGCGGTGGTGGGAGTGGCATGTAAACGAGGAGCAGAACGAATGCGAATGTTTTCGGCGGGCGCGGAAGTGGTTTTCCGGCAGTGCTGGCATTTTCCCTTGAATTCTCCAATGCGAATTCTTTAGGACTCATTTTTATTCATGTTGACTTGGCAGCGCCGTTTTTCGGCTGCTTAAGCAGGAAAGCCAGTGACTTTCCAATGAATTTGACCGCTTTCGCTCACTCTGATATCAACTGTGAACGCGCTGCACCCGCAGCATGAGCGAGAAAACCGCAGCACTTAATTAAGAGACGGTGAAGACCGGAAAGTTCAAAAGAACATCAAGGACTTTTTTCAGCAAGATGTAGTTGCCAGTGAAGTTCTTGTTCATCATTTTTATCAGCTTTAAGTTGTTTTTAGTTCATACGAATTCGGGCTGATACGAATATTTTACGTGCTCCCTTCAAATTCGTATCATCGAGATTCTACTGTATTTGGCCCCTCGTTAAATGACTGAATCAACATAAAATGTGGTTTCATGTAAAATGGCAATGGAAAAATTAGGGTTTTTAATGCATTGCGTTTATGGGGATTTTGCTGGAACAGGACAAATTCATAGTAAAATTCATAGTTGTGTTGATTTGTGATACCCCCTCCTAGCTGTGCAGTGCTTGTGCTAAGGAGAACAAAGATTGTTTTTTGAGTTCAGTGTCAACTGGTGGTTTTACTTCGGGCTCTTCAGGTGCTCGGCTAGGCCTAGGTTACCGTTTTCTGTGGACCAACAACACTACAGGAGTGAAACAGTTCATAAAAATGAAAAAAAAAAAATCAATACGCAGACATTTCAGCATTAGAAAACAGTGCAGCAAAATACAGTTTGGGGGAGCAGATACGGAAAGAAGTGTTCACCTTGACACTCCTACGTGGTTGCAGGTTGGCTAGCTTCCGTGCAGCAGCTTCAATCGATGATGCAGCGCCCAGCAGCTCTGTTTCTGCAATGACTGTTGGATCATTTGGGTCGGCCCAGTCAGTGCCTGCAGCAACAATGACATCACACCTGAGCCTGCATGATTGTGGCAACTGTATTATCGAAGCATGTTAAATCCTTTACATGTGCCTGCCACTTTACAGGCCAGCACTGATGAAACGGAGGCAATGACTGTCTCTGGCTGGCCATCGATGCTGTTTTCCTTCACTGCCTTTTCGCGGCATCGATGCAACTTCCACAGGCAAATATAGTTTTACATTTCAATCAGTGCTGGCCTACAATCTGTTCTCACAAAGTCAAAATGTGCATTTCTACCCTCAGCTGAACTAAACACAAAATCAGTTCAGGCACCTTACAAGACAGGGCTTGCATACAATATTTGGCTGAAATTTCAAGGATTTCAAAGATGCAAAAGTAAAAATATTCAAGCAGTTAAAGTAATCTTATTTTTGAACATGAAAGAAGCACAACTTTTTTTGTTAAAAGCAGCTATCTTCCCTTGTTTTTCTTTCACTCTTCAACAAAAAGTGTTGGCCTTGACGAGATATGTCATTTCTTGCTTTCGCGTCTTCCAAAAAGCAATCCACCGACTCCAGCAAAAGAGTTGAAATTCTTTTTTGAGCTTTTTCTTCCTCTCTTGCATGCTCTGTAGCTCGATATCTTTTTTTTTCTCTTTCTTGCACAGTTTTCCATTCATGATTTCCTTGGGCAGTATGTATACGGTCCAACACATAGGTCCTTGTACCCAGAAAGAAGCTTGTTGTCAATCGAACTTTTAAGGCACATCTCTCCCAAGGCACATCTCTCTGGGGTCGAAACATAACAACCCTCGAAGAAGAGCACACCTAAGAGGACTTCTCTCAAAGATTTTCAGGAACATATTCACAATAACCTTGCAACACTTGCTCGTAAACTCAAAACCACACTTGCGACTCAGTTTCCCGATCATAAAGAATTTCTCAGCTGCACGTCTAATGGCCTCAAGTGATGTGTCATTAACATCTATTCACAAGATTTTTCTGATGCTCATGGCTTCTGTCTATACCAAGTGCTTCACAAACCTTGATAGAAAAGCTTCCCGAAACACTCTCAAGCTCTTTCACTGAAAAAAAAAAAAAAAAATCTTGGAAGAATCACTCTGAAAAACAGGCAACTATTGTAATGTTATTGCGATAGCAATTATATGGACACTCTCAACTGAATTTCGTCGTCGACATGGTCGTCGGCATTGCTGACATGCACCGTATATGTATACATACGTGTATATATATGAAAACGCAAGAAAGAAAAAATCCAAAAAGAAGACTCCAGCACACGGAATTTGATGTGGAACCTTTGCGTTGTGAATGCGAGACGTTAACCACTGAGCCACCGAGAAATACCTCCTTCGACATTCAAACGGCACGCTATTTATATCTACCACTTACCACTGTTGGTGGGCATCTCGGGGGGGGGGGGGGGGGGGGGAAGGGGAAATAAGTGTGTTTTCAGCGTTATCAGCAAGATGGCGCAGTGAGCGTGCGGCGGCTCTCATCTCTCACACGTACATTGGCCCGCGTAAAGAATAAGAGGGTGTAGGCTCGATCGTGCGCCATTATCTTGCAGTGGGAAGGACTGGTCTTGGCTGACCTTTGGGTTTTACCAGAACAATTCTGTTGTAGTTACCGAGCGCACAAAGGTCACTGCAATTGTTGCACAGCCTCTGTTTGCGAATATGGTGCGCTTTCAGACACAGTGAAGTAACAACTGAGACGCTCGTTCGCATTCATCTGTACCTGTGAGTACATTTCGAGCGTCATTTGTGCATGAGAAACGGGGGGCACGTTTTGATCTGCTTGCCATTCTGTACGTGAACTTCCAATTTGGTGCTACCACGTTCATTGCTCCGACTTTGTGGCAAAGCTGTGACTTTTTAGGGAAAAGTCCAGTTTTGCAAGTGCAAGCAGATGCTTTGGAAAAGTACTAACATCCTCATACACTATACATTTCGGCATAGGTAGCCTGCTTTGGTGTAGTGCTTCAAACCTTCCTACAATGTCAGGCCTCTCTCCATGAGTGGCACCAGTGCATGCATAACGCCGAGATGAGATGGTGCCAAGTTCGCCGAGATGAGATAAAGCCAAGTTCGAGATGGTGCAAAAATGGCAGCTTAGCCAGACTTAGAGACCATAGCTCAAGTGAGTGATGTGCCTTAGATTGGATTCGATTTCCAATTGATTTCAGTTGCCAGATATTGTAACGCTTCTGGGAGCTAAAATCAAAAGTTCCTGACACCTCTTACCTAACACAGCTTGTTTCTAGGATCATTTGCAAGTCAAAGGGCTTTTGCAATGAGCATGGCTTACATGTCGTTAATTTCCTCTAGTGAAAAAAATACAATGGTATTTTCAAGGATTACACAGAGTTCACAGGTATTCCAAGAGTTTCAAGGGCCTTTCAACTTATATTTTTTGTGTTGATAGTTTCTGTTTCAATTGTTATAAGTGGCAATGCCATGACTCGGTCTGCAAAGAACACTCATCGGCCAGCCCTCCAAACGCGGTCCGCATCCTGCAGGAACGCAAGAGATGTCTGTGTGCACTGCAGGGAATGCACACCGGCATCGCTGTGACACGCAGTCGGCGTTTGACAAGAAGCACGCGCATGAATGGGGGGATATTAAAAGCGTGTCGCGTATGCTCTGAGGCTTTGTCGTCCGCCCTTCGTGTCTCCTGTAAAGGCGTGTCTTGACCCCTAGTGCGTTGAAATCTTGTAAATATGTAAATAGGTTGTGTGGTTTTGTCAGCAAAAAAACCTAGCAAGTTTTCCTTCTCCGGCACTTGGGCAGCCGCCTGTGCTTTGCTCTTTGTCACATCAACTGGTTGGCAACGGCGGAATTCGGTTGTGTTCTTTCCTGGTACTGATGCTGGTGAGTGCTCACTTTTCGTAGACATTCTACCATGTGTTTTGGACAGATGGCGATGTTTATTCAAAGGGGTAAATTGGTTGCTGCTATGTGAAGGCTAGTGCTTACCAGAGGTACCTTCACAGAAGCTTGAGCAACAAAAGTCTGCATGGTGTGACTATGGATTAGAAAAAGTTAAGAAAACCGAATTTAGCGCTCTTGTTCAAGGAGCTGCAGATTGAGATGGCGATGGTACATAGGAACCAACATTTGATACAGGCAATTAAGTATTCCGGCGCGGATGAGGAGGGGCTTCGCGATTGTTGGGAGCTCATACAGGTAACAATACTGATTGTTGGCCTTGTTGTTACTTGCCTAATGACATGCTTTGGCTGCAAATAGTACACACAAAATAAAGGGACACTCAATGACAAGCACAAGCGGCACTTTCAATTAAAGTAGACCGGGCGCGAATCCAGACTTGAGTAACAACATACAGACATGCGCAGTCTTCACACAGCCTTACGCTATCCAGCTATTGAACAATCTCTTTTCCGATACGTAAAACGTCACCGATGGTTTGCCGATACACCTTCCACCTTCTTTTTTAATGCAATAGGCTTCATCAACTCACGTGCAGTTTTATACCTACTTTTCTACCTAGAATCTTAAACTCTTTAAAACGTGGCACACAACCGCAGGCTTTACAATGCATAGGCAAATGCATCAAGCCATCTTTCATTAAATTTAATTCATGCTCCCTAACCTGTTCATTAATACAGCGCCCGGTAGTCTTGATGTACGGGTTGCCACAAGAAAAAGAAACAATGTCTTTGGCACATTTCCCGTACATCGTGCCATGTTTCTTGCCGCATCTCTGACGGCTCGCCTCTGCCCCCTGAGCAGTTCTCGGGCACAGTATGAGCCGGTTTTACGGGGGGCAAAATGGCGACAGGTACCCCATACCGGCCTGCTACCTTTTTCAAGTTATGGGAGACCTTATGAGCATAAGGCATCACTGCAGGTCTTACAGTTTCAGTCCCTTGCTACTCCGTGGCAGCTCTAGTACATTCGCTTTTTGCTTTCCGCAAAAGCGCTTCGGAGGCAGCTGTCAATAACAAGTCAGGGAAATTCACAGCTTCAAGTCGCTGGGTCTGGTTCTTGAATGATGCCTGCATCATGTGTGTGCACGATTTTTCGAGAGTAGATCCCGGGCAGGGCGTAGCAATACCACGCTTGACTACTTTTGATTGGCAAGAGTGATACGGCATTACCTCTTTCTTGGCACGAGGAAAATATTGCCAGCACATTTGCCCACTGTGGAAAGTTAAACAAAGATCTAACAATTGCAGGGTGTTTCCTTGCAGCAGTTTTTGTGTGAAAACAAGTCCTTTTCGTGAATCCTAAAAATATTCAAGATATCATCACGGCGGGTCGAGGTGCCTTGTCTGTCAAAAAGAATTAAAAAGTCATCCATATACCTAAAAACCTTAGCAACGTTGAAGGTGCTATCCAGATTAAAAGCTCCATCAAGCAATCGGTCAACACTAGATACAAGTATATTACACAGTAACGTCGCAATACAGGATCCAGTGCAAATGCCACATTTCCGCAGAAAAAGCTGCCTGTTGAAAAATATAAAAGTACTGCTTAGGTAGGCTTCTAACAGAGTTAAAAAGTTATCTACTGTTACACCAGCCACATTTTGAAAGGGTGTCATGCCACTTTCTTCTATGCAGGATCTCACCGCAAAGAAAAGTTCATCATCTGGAATTGAGTAAAAAAGATCTTCCACATCTACTGAGAAGGCAACGCTAAGCGAGTGCTCATCATCTCTCAAACTGCTAGTGAAGAAGCGGTCCTTGATCTTAACGCACTTTAGCTCCTTTCGTACGTGCTTACTAAGTAAAAGCTGCCATATGTCCCGTTCCATCACTATACTTTTGAAGGTGTGGGGATCTGAGGAGCGCCTGCGACCATTTTGCGGGCATTCCGCCACACGGCCACACCCTTTTGCTTTCCTGCTCTGTTAACACCACGTGGCGATAGATGGCGCCACGTGCGGGCACGGCACGCGGTATGCGCGCGCCGAGGGAGCGCTCTCTTCTCCGTGGTCGGCGCCAGGTAAGCACGTGTTTTCCTTCGTCCGCGTCCCCTTTGGG